GCCCCAGCTTGCCTCTTTCCTGCCAAGGTCCCTCTGGGAGCCGGTGGCTGGGTCCCTCTGGTCCCGGGTCTTCGATCATGTTGAGCCCGTGGTTTCTTTCCCCGGAGCAGACTGGAAGCCTTCTGAGGGAAGGGGCGGTGTGTCGGCGAGCCTCAGACCCTGGGACACCACCCCCATGGAGGGCGGCAGGACAGACTTTGTCTTAATGGTCGTTTCATGGGCCCGTTGCCCTGGGAGCAGGTGCATGAGGAGACAGGTCCAGGGAGGGACAGTCTTGGCGAGGGTCACACAGTAAGTGGGCCTCCCGCATCTCCTGGGAGGGGTTCTTGAGGGAGGATCCTGTCTCCTGTCCCTCCTGACCTCTCCAGACCTGGAGCAGCAGGTGGAACAGCTGAACGCCACGATCGAGAAGACCCAGAAGGAAGTGAACTTCCTGAGCACGTACATGGACCGCGAGTACCCTGTCAAGTCGGTCCAGATTGCCAACCTTGTGCGCCAGCTGCAGCAGATAAAGGACAGCCAGCAGGTAGGTGGGCCCTTGGCCCGCTCCGCTGGACCATACTGGAGACAGGGCTGGTGGCCAACACCCTCCTGCTGGCCCCTAGGATGAGCTGGATGACCTTAATGAGATGCGCAGAAAGGTCCTGGAGTCTTTGTCTGAGCAGATTCAGAGGAAGAAGAAAAAACTTCTGAGATCTCTGGTGGTGGTGAGTAGCCAGCTGCTGGGGTAGGTATCCAGGTCCTGCCCCAGCCCTGCTTTCTTCCCCGTCCTCTGCCTCCAGGCCCCCTGTACCCCCTCTGGTCTGTACCACGCACTGCTGCCCAATAAGAGGCACTGGGGGGCCAGACCTCTCCTCCCTCCACAGAAAAACCAGCAGCGCCATCAGGAGGCTCTTCTGCAGAAGATCCGGGATGGCCAGGACATGCTGAGATGCACGGGCAAGTTCAGAGAAGTGAGTGGGCACGGAAGGTGACGGTCCCTCCGGGAGGGAGCAGAAGGGTGGGCGGTCCCCAGGACCTGTGGGAGTCAGGCTTGTCTTGATCTGGCGCTCGGGTCTCCAGCCCTGGTATTGGCCTCCCTCCTAGCCAGTGCCTTACTGTCACCTGCCATTCATCGTAGGAGGAGGTTAGTGCCGCCTCAGCCTTGCCTCGTTGACCAGCATCCCCGGTGATGACCCATTAGCAACATCGCCAGACATTGTCTGCGCGGCCATCATTTTACTGTCGTTCCCACCCCCTCTGTTCATCCTCTCATTTTTGTCACTCACCATCACCTGTTAGCCGTGTTAATGAACCTCACCGTCACCCCCCCTCTCGCGTTAACTTTCATTATCGTCTTCCTTCATCCACTGTCGGCGAGAGTGGCCTTCGCTGCCGGCCCCCGTTAAGTCTCATTACCAGGTACCGCCCCCCTTTGCCACCTGTCACCATTCTCCGTGATCTCCTGGCTGCTTTCAGCGCCATCAGAGGTTGGCACTGACTCGCGAGCCCAGGAAGCCCTGTGACGAAGCCGCCCCGATTCCCTGGATGTCCTCGCTGCAGATGCATTCTGCCCCAGTCTCCCTGTTGTTGGGGGATGTTGGCTTCTCACTCTCCCCTGCTGCACCTCTGTCCTCAGTTTATCAGCCAGTTTGAGGAGGAAATACCCATCCTAAAGGCCGAGGTGGGGCGGCTCAAGGTCCAAGTCCAGGAGCCACGAGAGACCGTGTTTGCGGATGTTCTGCTTCGGAGACCCAAGTATGTGATCTTTTTGGCAGCTGCCTCTTAAACGCGCCATGCCGTGTGCTTGAAGAGGCTCTCTGTTCCTGGGGAAGGCAGAGCCCTGCACAGGGGGCCGGGGAGACCTGGGTCTCGCCTCACCTCGCCTCGCCTCTGCAGCTGACCACGTGGCAGATGTGACGTTGCCCGTCTGGGCCTGCTTGTCCCACCAGCGCACGGGCAGCTGACTTACATCATCTCTCTGGAACCCCCTTCTGGTTCCCAGATTCCGTGTTCCCACCAAGTGGGTGCACCCCTAAGCTTCTTGGTTGTTCAGGAAGGCGCAGTTGAGTGGGGTGGTTGACGCCAGGGAATAGCCTGGAAGACACTCTGAGGAGAGAAGGATGTCCTCTCTGCTTGGTACACCGCTGGGCTCCAGAGGAAGAAGTTCCTTCCTTCCAAAGCCAGTTCTCTGCCACCTTTCTTGTGTCAGGCCCTTTGTGGCAGAGCTTGGGGGTCCTACTAGGTCTGGCCTCTCCGTGATGGCGCGCAAGACCTGGGGCACCTCCATGTGGAGGCCTCAGGTAGGCAGTTGACCTCAGAAGATGGGTACTGGCTAGCGATGGAAATTTAGGTATTGCCAGTATAGAGATGCGTTTCCTTTTTCTTCTTTTTTAATGTTTACTCATTTTAGAGAGAGAGACAGACAGACAGACAGACAGAACACGAGGAGGGGAGGGGCAGAGACAGAGGGAGACACAGAATCCGAAGCGGGCTCCAGGCTCTGAGCTGTCAGCACAGAGCCCGACCTGGGGCTCGAACTCACGAACCGCGAGATCGTGACCTGAGCCGAAGTCAGAAGCTTAACCGACTTGAGCCGCCCGGGTGCCCCTAGAGATGCTTTTTCTTTTTACCATTATTATGAAACATTTCAAATATACAGACAGTAGAGAGAATATTAGGATGAATACCCGGTGGCCCGTGTAGTTTTAGGAGCGGTTATATTTTTGCCATATTGGCCTCATCGTCATTCCTTCTTCTTGTGAAGTGTTGTGAATTGCAGACAGCCTGACATGTCACGTCTAAAGACGTCCGTGGGCACCAGGAGACTAGGGAAAGCGTGAGCACGGATGGGAGAATTGGGACGGGGTGGAGACAGAGTGTCATGTGTGGCCTCGTGGGTGTGCTGATCACTGGGGGGCGGGGGGGATGTACTGCAGATGCAAACCCATGGCGCTGGCTACTTGTGTGGAAAGAATGATGCCTGTCAGTTACCGAGCGCTCTTTACGAGCCGGCATGGTCTCACTCAGTCCGCCTGCCAACCACGGAGGCTGAGTCTGGCGCCCTGCTTGGCTTCTCACACCTTCTTTGCTCTTCCCTACCAGGTGTCCCCCAGACATGGACGTCATCCTCAACATCCCTGTGGAGGAACTGCTCCCCTTCTAGATGGCGGGCCATGGGCCACCCTTCCCTCCCTGCTCTTTCCCCCATATCTGGAGCCTTGACTTGTCTCCTTCCACGGCCACGTGTCCACTCAGACCCTGGTCTGCCCTCTCTCCCTTCCTCCCTCTCTTCCTTCCTTTC